GTTTTCTCGGAAATCGACTTTCTGAATTCCGTTCCTTCGAAAAAGCGAAAAAATAACAAGGATGACGCGTCAAAAATCAAAAATTCTAATATTCGACGTGATCGTCGAAAAACGGATCAACCATTCTCTCATTTGCATGATGATCGTCGTTCGGGTCAAGATAGCAAAACATCGTCATCCGGAGGTAGTCGATCACATTCAAATGGCAAGTTATCAGCAAAAAGATATAAAGATGTGACGAAGAGATCGAATAAAAGTTCTGCTGTCTGTCATCGATGCGGTTCAGATAAAGTCTCGTCGTCATTTAGTAAGGCGGAACCTCCTTTATCCTCCCATCGATGTGATAATATTTCAGTCAAATATCTGCCGCGGGAAGGTAATCGAGTCTCTTCAACCGTTAATAGTCCAGAACGTCCATACAACCCTTTTTCATCACAGAAGTCTATTTGTGACTCTCCTGCATTAGTGAACAAAACCTCAGTTAGTCGAACATGCCTTAATGACGAAGATTCTTTTTCGACAAAGGATCAAATTATCGAATCACCATATTTTGCATATGACAAGAAGCACAATTGTTTATTTGACGATTTACCCCAGGATAGTGACGACCGAACTATTTCATCGTCGGGCCATCTTGATTCATGCGGTTCAAAATCTAATCCAAATTTGCATTCTCGGATTTCTGGCACCTACGAATTGTTCTCCAAATATTGGCCCCCTAAAGAATTGCACGGCCTCAGAGAGTCAGGACATGATAATATTCAAGATAATAGGAACGGTGACATAAATGGAAATAATTTCTTGATCGATGAAGGTCGTCAAGATAAAAATGAATGTGCTGAAGAGACAAACAGATATTTAAATCGTGGAGAGAAGAATTCAGAAATTCAATTGGATAATTGCGAATCTTCAACCATGAAAAAGTATGGAGATCCTGCATCGGATAAATCCCTTAATAATCCTGTTCTAACTTTTGAGAAATCGTGGAACGATAAACATGCTGTAAGGGAGGTAAATATCATGAAGCCTGATTATATTGTGTCTTCACCATATTCAATATCAGAAGGTTATGACGTCGAGAAATCCGTTACTATTGACTGGAGTGAAATAGATGGAGATGATGCTGGAGGAAATGATGGAGAGTCTCTTGTAGATCTTTTTGGTCGGAGTTCGCCTTTCAGTTTTACAGACGGAAGGTCCACTTTTGATGTTAATGAAGATTTAGTGTCCACATTTGTTTGGCGAAGACACAGATTGCATTGAGAATCCTTTTCTTATCAGAAAAATTTTAAAACGACCGATTAATATAATATGGATGATGGCAGCATCTCTTTTGATCTTTCATTGCATTACCTGCATCTTTTTAAAAATTCCACACCACTTATAAAAAAGTAAACATAATGTTGCCTCGTTAATTTACTTCACATATATATTTAAGGTTCATTTAATTTATAGGATTGGATTCAATTCAACAAATATTTATTTGTACATGATTTTTATACTGACTACAAATTCTAAGGTATATAATGTATGTATAAATATAAGATCAGTACATAAACCATGAGAGTGAAATTGTATACTTCGCATACATAGAAAAAGAATCCACAAGTTCATGAGCGAACTTCATGAATATAAATGAAACAAAAGAAAAAATGAAATAGATAATCTCATTGCCGTCTGCTGAAATAATTCGGAACAAAAGATCTGTACGCTGGCAATTTGTACGGATAGAAATTGGAGATTCACATCAATACGGTATCCCGTATATCTTGAAGTGGTTTCTATTCTTGGATAAATAACACCATTCTCGGAAAAATTTCTAAAATCGATAAGGTAAATTGTATTAATCAAAATTGAGACTCTGGAATTCCGAGAAGGTTTGTCACTGAAATAGGATCAGCGACATTGAAAGTTGGTGGATTTGTCACACTTGCGGACACAAATTGATTAGACGTTGCCCATGGCTGAATGTTTGGATTATTAGGATTCGCATTTTCTTCCATGACATCAGGCATACCTACACTGGAGGGCCCTGATTCAAATTGTTGGTTAGATGATGGAGCCATCAACTGAGAGCCATGATGTTTTTTTTGATGGTATTGTAAACCGTTGGGGGTACGATAACTATTTTTGCATCCGGGGGCCGGACATTTATAAGGTTTAGAAGAAACTTCGGATGTTCCCTCTTCATTATTATCACATTGATGCCCGGATGAACCTTTCGCATTGGCAATATGGTATTGTAAACCATTTATATTTTTGTAGCTTTTATAACAATCCGGGAGAGCACAACGATAAGGCTTATCGGAACTGCTAACGTTAGGGTGTGCTGCCTTCACATGGTAATACAAGCCATTTGAACTCGCAAAATTGATTTCACAACCCATTACACCGCAGCCGTACGCTTTGTTACATGAATCATGTTCGGTCTCATTTGAAACGGGATGTTGAAGGACTTGTTCCGTAGTGTTAGCGTTCGTCTGGTTTTTTTGTGTTTCAATATTGGGAATATTTACGTTTGGTGAAGAAGATAATAACGAGGCAATGCTAGGACCGCTTGAAGTGGTCTGCGAGATCATGCTGGGAATCGGTTCTGGTGACAAATTAGATTCCAAGATAGATGAAGAATTCTGAGAAACTCTTGATGTATGGTTCGCAACCATATTTGATGATAGATGCTCGTGTATAGGCGGCTGCATACTTAACATAAAATGTGATTGTGGATTGGCTTGCATGCTCGACACTGAATTCTGCGCATGCATTGGTATATGTGTATTTGAGTTCGAAGATAATGGCATGTCTGAAGGGGAGGTCGGCGACGCAGTCGGTGAAATATCATCGGGAGTAATGATTATCATGTCCAATTGGTGATCTTTGTTTGCCTTCCTGAGCCTCTGAATCTTTCGAAATCTATTACGACAATGCAATCCAGGACGTCCCGGAAAGAATTGCGCAATTTGTTGCCATTGGCTGCCTAATTCGGAGTGCTTTTGCAGTAAAAGAGCATCCTCTTGTTCAGTCCACTCGGTATGATCAATATCAGGATCCAAGCATTCTTTCCATCTTTTGGCACATTGATCGTCGGTTCTTCCTGGGATCGACTCAGCGACTTTACACCAAACCCTTTTATGCTTTTCTACGGCCTTTCTTAATAGTTCATCTTCTTCCAAAGTCCATGGTCCCTTTCTCAAATTTGGGTCAAGTGAATGGAACCAACGTTTCCTACACATTTTATTTGTTCTATCGGGAACGCAAGCTGCTATCTTTGTCCATTTTTCGGATCTATCACCGTATAGTTGTACAGCTAATCGCAACAAGTTATCCTCCTCAACAGTCCAAGCTGTTTTACTTGTTGTAACTTTGTACTTTGGTCGGGACGGATGGGGTCTGAGTGGAGTTGTCACATTTGTTGGTTGTTCTGCCGTTGTGTTGGTCACGGCCGGCGGTGGCTCTGATAAAAGTGAGATAGGAGGCAGTTTGTTTGCGTGCGTATTACCGGAAGCATGAGCTTGTCCGCCGTCCTGTTGGTAAGTATTAACAAAAATTCCAGACGGAGGTGGTGGCGGAAGCGCGGGACGGTGACAATGTGAGGCGTAATTATCCTGGGAAGAATTACTTCCGAACTAGTACAAAAAAAAAGTGTCGAGGGTGAGCATAGCTATTTGGCAATGAATAATTTCTTTAAAAAAAAAATTTACCATGAAGGCAAAATTTTTTTCGCCGCTAGCTGCGTCCAATGAACTGACTCGGGCTTTACACGGAGAAAGTTAAATAAAAAATTATTTTTATAAAAAAAAAAAAGTGCGTACGCACGCACTTCACTAAATATTACACCCATGGATATCATGTGAAGGTACCAAGTTATATCTCTTGGGTGATCGGCCTCAAAGTGTGTATTATCAGCCTTAGTGAAATAACTGATACATTATTATATTAAAACTCTACACAATAACGTAAGAGCTAAACAAGAATTACCCAGACAGAACGCGTTTTGTTGCGTATGCTAGAACTGGCGAAAGTCCTGTTGCTACTTATTGAAAAATCATTTATACAAGACTTTTTAAATGCGAATTTACAGTACTTTTTTATTCTAATTTAGAAACTTTCATTATGGAAGTAGAAGCAGAGGTAATTGCTAAGCGTGAGAGACGTCAAGAGTTAAGAAATGCAAATTTAGCCGCGTGGAAGCAAGGAAAGCCTGGTGTGTTTGAAGAATTTATCGTCCTTCTTTACTTTCATCCGCGCGGATAGTAATTAACTTCAATCAAGATACTAAAGAACAATGGTCATGATCCCTTGCACATTTAGACCCTTCATTATTTAAAGGTCTCGATTCCAATATCAAAAAGAACACAGGGTTTATTAAGAAATGCAAATCTCAATTATCGGCAGAATATCAGCAGCAATTGTTAAAGGATATTAAAACTTTAACATTGGAAAAGTATATTTCCGAAGTCGTTGTCGCAGTGGTAGAAGGGGCACAAAAATGCAAGGCTACCGCGGATGTTTGGGCTGCCGTTGAGGTGAGATATAAAGCTTTCTTCAGTCGTGAGTAATGTTAGTTCAAATTGATTAATAATAATTTTTCATCTTTCAAAGGTTATTTCCGCATTGCACCAACGGTTCCCAGATACGTTCACTCCTTTTCTGACCGCTACACTGACTCGTTCTCTTGCTCCTCCGAATAAACAACAACTTGCGATTCTTACTGCTGAACAGCGCGAAAAGGAAGAAGGAGCGCGAATTATGAAACAACGTATTCTTCTTAGGATCGCGGGCGAACTGTGGTTGTTGGGTGTGCTTAGAAATGTAGAAGAGATTAATGGTGGAGGTGCAGGGAACATGAATGGTGTCGGCTTCACCAACAATTCGGCTAAAGAGTCGAAAGAATCTAAAGAGACAAAATCCTCTGTGGAAGGGTTCATGTACACAGTGTTGAAAGACTTGGTTTGTCGTAATACATCCATTTTTCATAATGATTTCCAATACCTATAGTATCCACGTTTTTACAGACATTGTTGAACAAGGTGTCTGTTTCCTTAAATATGAATAGCTTTCGCATGACAGCAAGCATACCAACCTTCCGCTTGCTGTATCCTTTATCAAATATTTTGGACCGGAATTGATCGGCACAATAAAAAAAAAAAGGGAGAACCTCAGAACAATTGAAAACGAGGATGGTGAAAACAACTCCACTCCGCATGTTGCTAATGGAAACCAAGATGCTAGTCCCGAAAACGAACAGGAAGTTTCGGATTGTGAATTAGTTGTTCCAGCCTCTCAACGAAACCTCTTTAAAAATTTGTTAATCGACTACTTTAAAGGAGTTGAAAAGCATTTGATAAAGGATCATCAGGTTTGTTAATGATTAATCGTCGCTTCCTTTATATGATTCATACTTACCATTAATTTAAATGATAGAAAATCAAGAGTTTAGATCACAATAACCATGAATACTATATAACAAAAGGAGAAGTTCCAGAAGAAACAAAGCAGAACTATGAAAAAGTAGTGAAGGCATTCGAAAAATTCTTACAAAATGCACAAACGTAGGTTTTCTTCGACTTTATTTAAAAAAATAATTTTGTACCGTCAAGTGTAGGTTGATATGTTTTGATTGTGTGAATAGATTGGCGGATTATTTAGAAGTAGATATGCCTGATTTGCCTGAAGATGAAAGAACCACAAAGATTGGGGTTAACATAATTCGAAGCGGATCTTCTGTTAATGAGAAAGAGGTTTGATGCAATAAAGATTATGCTGATTTCAAGTGTGGAAAGTAAAAGATTTCTTAGTAATTAATACTTAATTTCAGGATAATTTTAACAACAGTGTTTGGGAAGATGAGGACATGCGAAGTTTTTATGAAACTCTTATTGATTTGAAAACTCATGTACCCGGTGTTCTTCTTGAATCGAAACCTGGTAAAAAAGATGAAGCTGAGGCAGAAAAGGACGAATTATATGTTAATGGAAATGAAAAAGATGATAAAGAAGAGGACGAGAAATTGGGTGAAGACAATCAAATTGACGATGCCAAGACAAAAAACACTCAAGAAGCTAATACTGAAACTGCTGAGAAGATAAGTGAAGAAGGGGAAATCAATGGAGATTCTCATTCAGACAAAGATGACGTGGGAAAAGATGGGGAAAAATCTGGTGATCAAGTCGGCATTGAAGCTCCGACTACAAAAAGAGATAAAGATGAAGCATCTAATAAGAGCGGTACATCGGCCCAACTAGACTCACTCCTATCGCGCCTTCCAAACATGATCAATCGGGACCTCATAGACCAGGCTGCAATTGACTTTTGCTATTTGAATTCTAAAATGTCGAGGAGGAAGTTGTTTAATGTAAGCCATAGCTTATATTAATTTCTATCAATTACCTTTTAAAAATATTAATTTGTGTACAACAAACATCCTTGATTTAAAAACGTCACAAGGTCTTAGTGGCAGTTCCTCGTGCAAGACTAGACCTCCTTCCATATTACTCTCGTTTGATCGCAACACTCAACCCTCATTACCCAGACATTTCTACTGCTGTTTTAAAAGCTGTGAGTTAAATTTAGTATTTCCTAAGAATGCACACTGATGTTTTTATTCGATTCATTTTATTTGTAATCTGAGTTTTTATGATATCCATTGTATTGTTTAGTTGGAAGATGAATTTAAGTCTCTGCAAAAGAAAAAGACCCTAGAGCTGCAAGAGAAAATTAAGGTAAGGATGTCTAGTGAATGAGAAGTCTTTTTCGTATTTGTTTTTTGGCCGGTCAAAATTTTATGTATACGTTCGTGGAATTCTTATGAGAAAGTCAATGATTATATTATAAGATTTTCGGTTAACGATGTATGGCTATCTATTTTTAAGAATATTAGGTTTCTCTCGGAACTTACAAAATTCCGCATCACACCTCAACACGTTATCTTCCATTGCCTCAAGGTATTACTTGACGATTTTGCAGGTCAGAACATAGACATTGCATGCAATTTATTGGAAACATGCGGAAGATTCTTGTTCAAAAGCCCTGAAACATCTATCAGGATGGGTAATATGGTATCTATTATAATAAAACTTTTCTTTCCATATTATTTATCGTCGCCTCCAACCATTTTCTATACTGAAACAAATACGATATTTTTAGTTGGAAATATTGATGAGAAAAAAAAGCGTTCAGCATTTAGATAATCGTCAATTATTAATGGTGGAGAATGCATACTATCAGGTACAGTGGGTCAATTGGAATTTCTAGTTATATATTAAAAAGCTGGATATCATTAAATCATAAATAACAGATTCTAACAACTGCTCATATTAAATAGTGCAATCCCCCTGATCGAACAGCAATGGTCAAGAAAGAACGATCTATCATGGAGCAATTTATCCGCAAGTTAATATATTCGGATCTTAATAAAAAGACGGTTGAGAAAGTTTTGAAATTATTGCGAAAATTGAACTGGGATGATAAAGAAGTGAGTCATAACTTTCGATCAATTCATTGACCTTGAATTATTTTATTTTTTTTCAAGTTTTTATGGTTTATCTTTTACTTGAATAGGTATTCAAGGTTCTTGAAAAATGCTTTTCCAAAGTATTTAAGATAAAATACAGCAATATTCACTTGATGGCTATCCTTGCATCTGGATTACATCGTTATCATTCTGATTTTGGAGTTTCGTTAGTCGATAGAGTAATCGAAGATATAAGGATCGGATTAGAGGTAAGTCATTTTTTATTTGATTAACGGTTTATTATTTTACATAAAGGTTATTCTTATTGAATTCATTACCATTTCTTACCATGTTTCCAGCAAAACATATTCAAACACAATCAACGTCGTATCGCGACTGTGAAGTACCTTGGAGAACTTTACAATTATCGAATGGTCGATTCTCCAGTCATATTTGACACCCTTTATTCTATAGTCACTCTTGGGCATGGTAATTGCGTTAATTTTGATTCAATAAAGTCTTGCTTAATATATTATTGACACAAACTTACACGTAGAATTTGGTCGACCATCCCCCGTCCGTGTGAACCCATTGGATGCACCAAGTGACTTTTTCCGCATTCGACTGTGCTGCACTTTGCTTGACACATGCGGTATGTGTTTTGACCGAGGTAGTTCTAAGAAAAGATTGGATGACTTCTTGGTGTTCTTCCAGGTAAATAAAATCTACGTATAAATCGAACCCATGTTTAGTTGTTAATTTGCAATAACGTATTCGCATATATTTTTTCCAACCATAGATGTATATATTAACAAAGCAGCACTTACCTATGGATGTTGAATTTATGATCGCCGACCTATTTGAGGTTGGTTGCTTCTGGTTTTTACTCACGAATTTTATCCTGAAAGCTCAATTCATAAATTTCTACCTGTATAGACGTTAAGACCAGATATGATTTTATACAAGACATACGAAGATGCTGCTGAGGAAGTGGACCAGAAACTCATGCTAAATCAAAAAGTGTTACATAATGCAGGTGGTGGTGCTAAGAGTCAAGACGATGCGTTAGAAGAAAGTGAGATGTCATCATATTCTGATGATGATGATGATGATGGACATAATGAAGGGCATGATGATGAGCTTTCTGAGAAAGTAGGAGAGGAAGAAGGTTCTGATGATGAGGTAAACTCACTAGAATTTGTCTAAATTATTAAAGAGCATCTTTTTCACATTTAATAAATGTTTTCAGCAGGTTGATTCTGAGGAGATTGACGAAGGCAACGAGGAGGACGAGATTGTGGTGCATACCAATCGCCCAGACAAGGTAAATTCTGTGGATGACGATGAATTCGAGAGGGAATTTAGCAAAATGATGACCGAGAGCATGGAATCACGCAAGTATGAAAGAAAGCCGGCCATGTTAGATGTAGCAATTCCGATGCATCTCAAAGGAGTTGATAGAGCAACAGATCATTTGGAAGGTAGTGTATCCTTCACTTTATTAACTAAAAAAGGAAACAAACAGCAGGTACGTGAATATATTTGCTCATTCTACTTTGCCAACCCCTCAACTTGTTATTGATGTTGACTTTCCAAACAGATGAAAACAATGGAAGTTCCCGCTGAAAGTGCATTGGCAGTAAACACTCGTACCAAACAAGAAGCAGAACGTGAAGAACAACAACAACTAAAGAAGTTAGTATTAAATTACGAAGAAAGAGAGGAACAAAATCAGCGCATTGCTCTCGAACAATCTCTGATTAACAATGGAGTGAAAGTATCCTATCAGTCGGGCAATCGTCGAGCGAATCAAAGGGGAAGGAAGCTAATTCATCAAGGTGGAGGTCATACATATGTTAATGAAAGGTAAATGCCTCGCTGTTACAATGATGAATGAATTGAAAGAGAAATTCATAAATCTTCTTTATAAATACAGACGTCGATAAAGCTTTATTTGCTAGCTATAATATTTTTAAAGCCTTCCATATGGATTTCTCTCCATCGAGGCACAAATAATACGAGGCACCACGGACTCATTCCATTGGACATAATCCTCACGTGTCGTTTCGACACTGATTAACTTGCTTTCTACAAAGCCTGTCAAACGAGAGTTCCCTAACCTCTCATCCTGAGGAATTACTCATTGCTACTAAGAAATCATGAATCTTGATGTGACAAACAAGAAAGCAGAAAGGCGAAGATACGCACATGGCAGGAACCTTTTCTTTTTTCTTAAGACCAAATTCGATTTAGTAATAATCTGTAATGTAAATGAATTTATCCAATTCGAATGTTACATCTGGCTTTAATTCCTGTATTCGCACTCTTATGCTCTTATGCATCTAACATGTTTGTGTTTTTTTTTTTTGGATTTTGTCAAATTTTAGTTGCAGTCGTCGTTTATTATTATTATTATTTTGCACCGAATATTTCTAAATTCACTTTTAATATCATCGGATAATAAATACAGTTCATTTTAAATATTATTTATTAAATAATGTACCTAGTATATTGTAAATCGCATCCAGTTCACTAAAAAATTCATTTCGCGAAAAAAGATATGGAACGAGAAGAATAGCATCACACGAATGATGGTTTTTATTACGTGTTATATATCCTTTTAATTAATTTTACCGGTCATACATTTTTATTAATTTGACTGTATTTGTCATGCGAAATATTACAGTATGTACAGATAATAATATATTTTTATGGTGTGAGCCACTTAAAACATCCAAAATTGTTAAAGATCTTTCAAATAAGTTTAAATTGTAAAAAAAAATCCGTAACTTAATAGTTTTAAATAAGAATTATAAAACTACGGATTTTTTTTTAAGAATTTATATTATTTCGTTAAAAGGTAGTAGTTCTTGAAAAAAAATATATTTTTTGAATTGTTGATCTCAATATTTATTACGTACTATATAATAAAAAAAACATCATTTTTTTATCTTTAACTATGTAATAGTCTAAGTTCTTCCAATTTTTAGTAAAAAAAAAGTTTGATTTTATTATTGGAAACTTTAATAAAACAAAATCAGATATATAAATACTTGTTTACAAAAAATTTTTTTAAAAAAAAATTACATAAATTCTTCAAGAATATTTTTAGGAATTCAACAATAAGATTTATATTTTTTTACTGCAAATATAGTAGCATTTCCTGAAAGATCAAGTTTATATGTACTTATATAATGAGTAGAATGATAAGCAAAATAACAAATCTTTGTTAGGTTAATAGAGTTTAATACACATGGAATAATTTTTTTAAAATCTTTAAAAGTATAATTACAATAAAGATATGAATACTATTTTGTTTCAGTTTAAAATAATTCAATATACAATTAGAATCATAAGTACTCTACCTTTTTTAATTTTTTATAAATCATATGTAATGCTATAAATTTTTTAAATATGTAATACAATATAAATATTGATTATATTTGTTAGAAGATTTGTCAATAATTTATATTATAATTGGATAATTAATAAACTTCTGACAGTTAAAAAGATATTTTTCCTATATATAAATGATACAAGATCATTTTTTTATATACTTATCCTAAAAAATTAAAACTTGGATTAAATGCAATAGCAAAAGAGGTCAAATATAATAAAAAAACTGTTTTATATTAAGTTTGCAGATGATCTGTAATCAAAGATTTAAGTAATTAATCAAAATCTAAATAAAAAAGAATTATTATGAAAAAATAAAATCAAAAAATAATCAAACTTATATAAAAAAATATTAATATAATTGTTATGAAAATATATGAAAATATAAATAAATATCAAGTTGAAATAAGTGTAATCACAATTTATCATTGTCTTCATAAACAGTGTAGCAAATTTCAATCATAATTTTCAAAATCTCTACTTACTAATAAACATATAGAGAAAAGGCAGAAATAAGCAAAAAAATATAGAAATTATAATTGAAATAATGTGATTTTTTAAATAAAAATGTGTTTTATTTGAAACACTGATCAAAAAAAGTGTGACAGTTTTTTAACAAGCAAAATATTTTTCAAATAATAAAATATTCTATAAAAATTCATATTTGAGATTATTTTTTGACCTTGAAATTTGATAAGTTATATTTTTTTCAATGAAACTTGAATAATAATTTTTTGATTACAATTTATAAGAAAAAGCTTCTGCTTTCTATTAAAAAAACTTTTTATATAGGTTTTATAGTATGAATAGTACAAGAGAATAATAATCCAAGGAAAAAAAAAACTCTCACCCATTCACCACTGATTTCTTAAAAATTTCCTTATATGGTAATTTTCTTGAAAGAAGCACTTTCCTCTCTCTCTTCAATATGCCAACTATGCCATAAGC